ATACTGAGGAGGGCGCTCAGGCGAAGTTCACGATGGCAAGGCATCATACGCACTCGAATGTCGGTTACGGTCTTCACCAACTGCTTCTGGGTAAGTGTCTTGAGGCATTTGTCGACAATTGTCTGGTGAAGGGCCATGCATTGGGGATCGCCCATTCCATGGTGCAGTAATGTGGCTGATCCGCGCGCCAAGGGCTTCAATACCGGTTCAGCATGCGCTATGGCAGAGAGTATTATCTTGGCACAGCTTCTAGTGTGGCTTTTGCGAACCAGGTGACGATGAGGGAGTGACTGTACCTCATCTGCATCGACTTCTGGCGCCGCTTGGGTGTCTAATCATCATCGGGATGCACGCCCTGTCGATGCCGTGTACGCCACCAAGATCTGGTCGGCATGTATGTATTTCGCACGAATAAATCGCAGTTGCCATTGCCAGACCGTGACACTCACTCCCACTCAGTGACTTAGCGTGTCTACGTAGTAGGTCAAGCCGTGAGTCCCCGTGGCGCCCTGGCCGCCTGTCGATTCGGATACCGTCCTAGGACTCCGCGGTCGATGTTCAATCATTATGTTGCCTTACATGTACTTTTCTAGGGGCTGCTTGTTGTGCTGAAGGGCAATGGGTCCGCTATATCATACCGTGCGATTACCCAACAAGAGCTTGAGCTGTGAGTTCCTGGAGGTTTGGTATAATGTTTCAACTGTCCTCATGACATACTGCAGGAGGAGCGGTCTCTCAGATGAGGCAACCATGGTTCGCTGCATTTCACACGGAAGGCCTAATAACTTGTAGGCATATGGATGAAATACATCAAGGCGAAAACTCAGCTGCGCTGTCCGAGCGGATGCTTTAGTAATCGCCAAGGGGCAACGCGACAGTCCGATATTACGACAGTAGATAGAATGTTATCCCCACCCAGATAAGGTACCGAAGACCCCGAACAGACGGGGCCCTTTCAACCCTGTAGACGGGATAGTATGTTTCGACGCTCCAGCAGCACATGCGCAAGTTCTCGCAGAACGCTTCTCTTCGCAGTCTGACAGTCTGTCACAGGCTGCGCCCATAAATCCTACCGGGGACTGGGCTGCGCAAACGCGTCTTTGACCTGCGCGAGAAATCAGAGCCGCCCCGGTGTATTGCAGGTGCGACAGACCACTCACTAGGCGGATCTAGCCGTACCATCGCAGATGTGGAATGAGCGTTACGTGGCTTCGTGGCCTTCTCAAGAGCGATGGGAACTTTGCGGTTCAGTGTATATTACATCTGTCGACTGACTCAGATGATTAGTATGGCCTACCCGTGGTCTGGTGGACACCTCAAGACCTTAAGGATCACGTACAATCACAACGGTGAAATTGGTGCAAGCTTCCCAACGCTAGCCAGACTTGTTGGAAGACTAGCCCGATAGCAGCCGGGAATGAGGTGAGCCCCGGGGGCGACGGATATTGGCAGCGTATGTATTGAGGACGTCCTGAACCACAGCGTGGCTGGACCGAGGTAAGCGCGGGATGATGGCTAATCATCCGCTCGCACAGGAGCGAAGTCGCGAAGGGAGAAGCAATCCGAATGTTCAGCGAAGTGTGATCGCTACGCCTTGTGAGAGCGTACTTGGTGTACACCGCGCTTCACGGGGGAGACGCAGGAGATCGTTCCGGGTCGCCAGGCATATAGGGTTCATGGACACTGAGTCATCATGAACCTTGTAAGATAGAGCGGCCAGCTTGACTGTTGACTCATGCACGTAGCGCGCGCAACCTGGCACAGATTGGTCAATGAACTATCTACATTTCATAAAGAGCATAAGGAATGGCCGAGCTACTGTCAGGCACTGGGCGACGCAATGTACGATTGACTAGCCGGTCAAAAGAGCGCCACGCCTTCAAGCTAGGTCGGATACAACAAGACGTCACTCTCGGAGTGTCAGACTCGCTCCGGAGATTGATGACTTTTCAGGCGCATTACCCGTGTCTACGAGTGGATGAGACGAATGTGTACCCCCGAAACGCGCAGCGGCTGCAGTGACAAACAGGAATGCAGAGGCCACGGATGATGCAAACGTTTCATAGCACAGCGGGGTGTTCTTGCACACTTGTACCGGAGAGAGGGGTATCTCCAGCATGCGTTCAGCTGGCAGGCGTCCTCGCAAATAGATGTTAACCCGCTGATAGTGACACTGCAAGCCTGCAAGAGGATATTAGCCTTTATAAACGTACTCACATACAACTAGGTAGATGTTGTGCCACGTCGTGGAGTCTGAGGTCGGTATACTATGCATTGTTGTAGCCTGCATTCAAGTTCGCGTCTTGTGAGAAGATCATGCGCCACTGACGCGTCGAGTTCCCACGCACGGACGCGTTGCGGGGGTTCGTCCTGAACGCCTGTAACCTCTCACACAAGTCCTCACCAACCGACCTCTCTTCGCGTTCACACCTCCTTGTCGCCGCATCATGACCTCCAGACTGAAACCTATTGATCCCCTTTCAGAACGCTGGCAGCCTACCGCTGATCCCAATGACATCGTCGTCCCCGGGCTTGACACAAACGCGCCCGTTTATGATCAGATCGAGCAGATCGAGCAACTCATAACAATCAAGCTGCAGGTTCGCGCCATTAACATTCTACGACGCGGGCGCGTGCTTATCTGGGATTCAGAACATCGATGCAAACTTCTCAAAGATGCAACACATCATGGCCAACAGGATTCTACCCGCCGTGAAGCGGTACTCGGTCGGGACGGAACCTGTGAGGGAAGCGGCAAGGGTACGTAGTAAAATCCTGAGTATATGTTTGAAAACGAAAACTCACTTCTTGACTAGTTTTGGACAACATTCTTCGAGACTGCCGCCCAGATTCGCGTACCTACCTATGAAGAATACAGCGCAGAGCATGAGCAAGAGGAGACAGAGTCCAATTCTGAGGGAGTACCAGAAGAGCAGCCTAGTTCCAGCGGCGACGAACTCGAGGCGACCCACACACACACCCGGCATACGACCTTTACCTCTGACGGCTCGTCTGAGGTTTCATTCATGCCCCAAGCAGGGATGTCCTCAACACCTGCTACAGCTTTCCGTCAAAGACCACAAGAGGTCTACATAGGCGGACAATCCCTAAGCGCGCCCTCTTGGTCTGCATCCCTGGAATCCCCTCTGCTCCGACTAGCAGGCGAAGTACAGAGTCTTAGCCAGGCGGACGAAGTGTCGGGCATGTCCGAGAGGAGCGACGACTTTGAGGACGTGACGCAGCGCGCAATACCCCTCCCCAAGCTCTCAATACAGACACATGACCGCGACGTCAGTTCGTCCAAGGGCAAGAACCGTGAAATGCCGTCGCCTCTACTGCAAGGTGTGCTACTGCGGAACACAAACTTGGGTGACACGACCAGCCCGAGGGGGCTCGCATTCTCTCCCTTGAAACTGAAACCCAAGACACCCGTCGCGAAGACTAAGAACCCATATCTTCCTCCAGGAAGCAAGCCTGCGGACTGGAAGGGTGTAGTCGACCTCTCTGACCCATCGTCTACACCTCTGAAGGGATTTCCTTCGCCGTCGCTAGACAGGACGGCGCGCCCCACGGGGCAGTCTCGGTACGCCGGCGAGGACTCATTCGAGAGCAACTTTGGCATGTCACCACCTGTGACCATGGACTTTGCACGGCTTCCCAAGCTAGGCAAGACCCCAAGGAAGGAAGCCGCTGCGCGCATCTTCCAAGGTCTTCTCGACGTTGAGAAGCGCGGCGTCTTCGCGGCCCCTCCTGCTTCGGGGACGCGTCCAGGGGGGAAGGGGAGCGCTATAGAGTCGAGCGGAAGTTCGATGCCGAGCCCGCCTTCATTATCTCGTTATCAGCCCGACTCCCAGAGTTCTATATCAGGGAGCAGTATCATCGACACAAGTCTAGAGAGGATGATGCGGCAGGTCGGCATTCTCAGCGACTCCGAGATGGGGAAATCGCAGTCGTCCGCTGACGGACCCTCGCTCCGCGATCAGAAGCCCGTCCAACCACCAGTAGTGGCCTCGTCTTCTATATTCCCCAGGCGACCGCCTACATTCACCGCGATACAACGCCCCCCGCTTCCTGTTGCGCCACCGCCAGCTCCAGAGACTCCCCCTCCTCCACAATATGACTTCAGACATCTTCGTGATGATGAACTTGACGGAGAGATGGAGGGGGGCGGGCTGGACGACTCCCTTGACGAAGACTCGTTCGACGCCGCGAATCCCGTATTTCCTCACGCGGCCGGCGACTACGATCAGGATGACTCGTTCGCGTCCGATGATACAGACTCCTTCGGCGACGACGGTGTTGGCCCCGCGATCGAGGTATATCCAGCCGAGGGCGACAGCTTCGAAGACGACTCGTTTGAGAACGAATTTGACGGTCAACCCGAGGAGGAGACCGTCTTCGGCGTGCCGCCTGCAGAGCGGCTTCGTATGCAAGGCCGGGAGTCAGAGGGAAACCTACGCATGTATGGCGCGGATTTACTGCAAGATACCTTGGGCGTTGGCTCGCAGATGGCGCAGGCTGGGAGGGTAGAGGACACCCCAACGCCCATTATCCCACCCAAATGAGTGTTCTCTTCTCTTCAACTATTTTTGTAGCGATAGCAGATCGATTTTAATTGGGTGTAGAATGAATTGCATGCCAGTGGGCGTCACGCATATTTTTATGTCATGGTGAGGCGGGGACTGTACGTGAGTGATCGGACCCCTTGTGGCCCACTCAATGATATGATTAATAAATGGTAATCGGGCATGGAAACGTGGTCTCTTGTTCGACTGCTCACGGCGTATTCATCTCCGTTACATTTGTTGTCTTCTCTCCTGCCCACTTTCCTTCTGATGTGGTATGCATAAGATCATGATGGCTAGATTAAAATTAACAGTACAAACTCGGGCCAAAATTGTAGGACCACGACCAGTTGTTGTCTCCCGTAGGTTGAGTACCATGTCGGACTTCTACCCATTCTTCTCCGGGCGGTTGAGGGGCCCGAAAAGCAAAAAGATTGAACCCCGCCCGATTTGAACGGACGACCTTCTGGATGCTCCATGACTGGAATCAGATGCTCTACCAGCTGAGCTAGGGGTCCTTATGTGTTGGAGAGAATAATTGGATGTAGTAATGCCGCGCATTTTTTTAGTCATTTGTCTACCACAGTGCGTTCGTCGGGTTGTTTTACGGAAGGGAGAGAGCCTCAGGATAGTACTACACGCTCACCACTGGGGGTGACGATTATGCACGGACAATCCATCCCGCGCCGTAAGACAAACTCCTGGTCGACAAAGCCAGCTTCCTCAGCCTGGGCGCAACCGAGGCCCGCCAGCCTCAAAGTGTTCACTATCGGATGCGTATTAGCTATATAACCCAGTACATCCGTTTGTCGCTCTATACTTCTTGAATTGTCCTCGAACACTTGTTCATTGCTCCACCCTTCTCGTATCCTACATGATGAGACTCGATGGCTAGGCTCCTGGCCTTGATGCCTACGACGTCCACGTCGTTTAGTTGAATACTTCGCCTTATGGCGCTGCATATTTGCGCTTATAAATGTTAAACATAAATACGCTTTCCCGAAGCGCACTGCTTGCAAGCAATGGTGCCGTCAACACACGCAAGGAGCTTTGGCAGAAAACATTGACGCACTGGTGAGAGTTACGCCCATAGAGTCAACTTAGTGAACTCAATCTTGCTGTTCTTCTGGTTCGCCACAAATAGGGCGCCAAGACGGGTCGCTGTCATCTACAGTAAGACGCGTGTACCCAATGCTTCGAGATGCGCACCTTGGTCGAAGCCAGACTCCTTGCACGGCGTCACGATAAGTCCGGCAGCCTGCAGTGCCGTCATGACCTGTCCGTATGTGCCTCTAAACAGGGCACCCGGCGAGTCGTCCGGTGCGGGCGCCGAGCCGTCCGAACGTATGCTCCCATACGATATCCTCGACAGGGTCGGTATAGCTGGCATCGGGTCCGTCTTCTCCGTTCCCGGCGACGCGTCCATGCCCGCAGCAATTACTGCTGTCGCAATGCGCTGCTTCAGGCGCCAGAGCTGCATAGCGGAAAGTTTCTGATGCATCCCGCAGTGCGTCGCGAACTGAATGAAGAGCCCTTCGCCCTCGCCAGTATCTTCGCCAGGGTAGGCGAGCGTCTGCGAGGAGGCTGTCGCAATGCTCGCGATAGAAGCGGTGTCAGTCACGACATCGTCGAAGCTGGGCGGACGGTCGACAACGATGAAGGAGAAGCAACGTGAGTCGCGGTCGACGATAGTGGTGCGCCGCGGCGGAGTACGAGAGCGCGAGCGCGAGCGGGCGCGGAAGGAGATGTTCTTGAATTCGACGATGTATGGGATGCCAAACGCATTGAACTTGATCTCTGGAGCCATTTGTGTGTTGCGAGGGTCAACCAATACCAGATTGGCGAAGAAATTGTGGGGCAAGCGACTGCCGGAGTGCCTGTGTTCGATGGGATAGTACGGATGGTAGTGCGGTATCGTGTCGCGGTTCATATCTCCACGTAGCCTCGTAGACTCACCGCATGCACGTTGTAGAAATGTGGCTTCAAAGGGTAGGCAATGTGGATGCCGTGCACCCCTGGCTCTTGGCATCACTCGGTCCGCTACGTAAGACGCGCAGTCTTAAATGTGAGTGCTTTGAGAGGTCACCATGTTGGGAGCCATGTATGAGCATACATGCAATGTGCTGAAGCATTCACCACACTGAATGAAGGTGAATGGCCCCAACCGTGCAGACACCACGTTGCGAACGAGGCAGGAAGAAGGCGGTCCAGAACCCCGTTTCGCAATCAAGGAACTGTGAATGCGAATTGCAACACATTCAACAATGCGGCTAGCTCACCCCAAGTATCTCACACGCACCGAACTCATGTCCTCTCTTTCAACTCCGTCGTGTGCTAGAACTCTTGCTTCTAGGTTTATTCATTGGACGGCGGCCTCTTCACCGTACAAATTATGTTGACGCAATCGGTTGTTTTCTTGTCGCATTGGCCCAATAGTGCAAAGCAGGCATGAAGAGAGGGATGTCCGGAACCCAAGCCGCAGGCACGTCGTGGTCGTACTGTCCTCCAGCGCTCATGCTCACTTCACGTCGGGGATACTTCGGTCGATTCAGACCTAATGCAGTCTTCAGCCACCGTTCGCCTCTCGATCCGCTACATCCAACTCAGAGACCCTTGTACCACCAGCCTCCTCAGTGAGCGGGCATCAGCTACCGCTACATCTGTTTTGGATCTCTACATATCTCATACTTGAATTTGCGAAAGGAGGCCATGGCGGACACAGAGTCAACATCGGCTGGGCAGTCAGTACCGCCCGTGGAGGTATTGTACTGCGGAGGTAAGATGAGCTTCCTCTGCAGCTGTCGCATACCTAATACTTCCCTAGTATGCACGTTCCCTGTAGAGTACTGCGAGTTTGGCTCGCATCTGACGAAATGCAAAGAGTGGTTGCATGAAACGCACGCCGATCTCTATGAAAAGTACTACTCCGAGGGTACATCCACCCGTACTCAGCTTTTATTGTCGCACCACTGACTAACTTCACAGAGGCGCTACATGCGAAATTGGGTACGCTCAGTCTTGAGGCTCAGCAGAAGCTAGAGAAGGACACCGCGAAGAAAGAAGCGAAGGCAGAAGCGAAAGCGGAGGCGGCACAAAAGAAGAAGATGGTACGTCCCATCTCTTTCATCGATGTTAAAAATCTGTCTGAAGTCTCTGCGTTCCCTCAGGCGTCACAAATAACCATCAAGCGAATAGAGAGGAACAAGCGCAAGTTCGTGACGGCTGTACATGGGCTCGAGGCCTTCGGTGCGTGCACCGTCGCTTTGCTTCCTGATTTTTGCTCTAACTTGCTTATTTCTTGCCAACTTCGCACTACGCTCCCTCATCGCAGACGTCGACCTTAAGAAAGCTGCCAAATTCTTCGCACAGAAGTTCGCAACAGGCGCCTCGGTCACGAAGAACCCACAGGGAAACGACGAGATCGTGGTACAAGGCGACGTATCTGGTGACATCGTCGAGATGATCGAGGATGGTGTAGGCCCATTGAAGGGCATTCCAAGTGATAATGTGGTGGAGGTGGAGGAGAAGAAGAAGAAGGGCGGGGAGTGATCGGGCCGCGATGGCAGCGCTGGATGCAGGTCAGTGGAAAGCTGCTATCTAGTCTGGCATAGTGCTAACTGTTGCATCGACTCAGAGTTCCACATGGGGAGTCCGAGTTGATTATGTCAAGAAGTTATCAAACAACATCATTGTTGTACACTAGCATCAATGTTTGCCACCATAACACACGGACGCGGGCTTAATACCCTCAAACAATGTTCGTAGAGGCACTCTTGCGGCAGGTGTGTACACATGGTTTCTCGTGCACTCGTTGTGCGCCAACTGCATTCAACGGCTATGACGCGCTTATGCTACCTTCTTACCGTCCAGAGTACAGTACGCCGGCCGTCCTCCGGCTGCTTGCCTGTACACAGACCTGGTTCCTCGAGTAATTTCGTTGTAGGAGCTGCTCGTCACAGCCCAACAGCGCATATTTGCTGCATACCGGGGATCATGAGAAAGCCTTTGAAGCATTTAGGCATGTATGTTCTCTCGTACTCGTTGGTTCTGTGCGCTGACACGACACAAAGCTTGCAACAATTGGTCTCATACCGTCTTGGAGCTCCCTGACTAGCATTCAGCGCTGCGTCCTTCCGTAGGCGTGATCAGGTTGGAGTATTGCTCCACACGTGTCAGAAGTACATCTCTAAGATGTGTTGCACATGGAGGAAGCTATTGGGCTTCACATTACATGGCACCATACGCTCTACGTTCGCTTTGAAGGGAATATGCACTGCGAACGTCAAGTCACTCGCTCCTCTTGGAGTCGGGCGTGCAAATCTCTTTTCGTGCTGACATTCTCACTATGATTCATTTGTTGTTGTTTTGGGAGTAGACCACTAGGTATACGAGACAAGTGCAGGCGTACGAGATAAGTGCAGACTTGAAGACACGGAGTTGTTGAACCAGAGCGAACCGAGCTCTTTGGGCTATATATCTCCTATCTCCTTCGGCAGAATCCGCTGACCCAAGACTCATCCTGGCCGAGGCTCGCGAGTCATCTGCACGCCATCGCCCGCACAATGCTTGATATATGCATAAGCCTTGACCTAAGGCTGCTATCGCTTGTGTACCACCAGCAACTATCTTGCTCAAGATGGCCGAGGGCGCACAGACAGCTGCGGGATCCGTGGAGATCGTGATCCTCGGCGCAGGTGTCATTGGCCTCACAGTCGCCCATGTGCTGTTGACGACATTAGGGCCCAATGCGTACAAGATCAAGATTGTTGCAAGGGATTTACCTGAAGATTTGAGCTCACAAGCCTTTGCAAGCCCTTGGGCGGTACGTCTCGGCATTCTGGAAGCGATTATTGGCGTTAATAAATGGCACTTGCATTCGTAGGGGGCCAATTGGTCGCCAATGAGGACATTTGAAGAAAGGACGCAGAGGTGGGAACGAACAACTTTGTGAGCTGCACATATTTCCCTACACGTGAGGACGAGATGTGACCATGAGGAAGCGACAAGATGTGGGACTTGATACCCCAAGGCCTCGCCATGGTATGTTCTACTGTTTCTTACCTTTGCGGTGATCTGACAATCATCTGATGGAGTAGGCGCTTCCGTCCCGAGTCTTCCTTACGGCAGATGAAGACCCAACCCGGCTGTGGTACAAGACTCTTGTCAGAGACGTTAGTACACTCCCTTGTATCACGCTTGACGGTAGAGCTGACCACTATGACGTAATACGTGCTGCAGTTCCGCGTCCTAGACCGGAGTGAACTCCCGTTAGACCAGAAAGCCGGCATCGCATTTAAGACGTTCTCAGTGAACCCGGAAGTCTACCTTCCCTGGCTGCAATCCGAGCTGCTCACGCGTGGCGTGGAATTTGTCCGCAGGCGTGTGCACAGTCTTGGTGAGGCGGCCTCGCTGGTAGGACCAAACGGTGTGCTTGTCAACGCTACCGGCCTAGGTGGGCACTCCCTTCGCGCACACTACACGCTACGCAACACCTGATCGCACTTCTCCCGCTCATAAC